TGTTGGTAATGAAAAAACTTACAATAAAAACGCTTTTTTTTTGTTTGAAGTAGGAATTTTCTAAATTGATTTTCTTCTATTTTAATAACATTTGAGGGTTTAGAGGGCCATGCCGTTTACATCCTAGAACCAATTTTGAAGTAAAAATGTTTTGAGAAAATTCAAGAGAGAGAGAGACAAAGTAGAGAGGCTAGTTTGGTTTTCCATTTAATTATGATAGATTTTGATTTTTTTTTTTTTTTTTGCAAAACTTTTTATATGTTTAACATATGTTTTTGATCTATGTTTAAAATGTCTTAATTTTAAGAAGTTGTTTGGTATTTTATCCGGATTTATTTAAATTATTGTCATAAATATTATAATTTTATGGGTTGTTTTGATTTTTCATCTCGTTTTGCTCGGATTTTGATTTTATTTTTTATTTAAATTTTTATATGTTCAACATATGTGTACTTTTTTAATCTATTTTTTAATCTTTTGAATTTTAGGAGGTCATTTGGCATTTTACTTGAATTATTTTTGTAAACATTATATTTAAGGAGTTGATTCAATCTAATCCTCACCATAACAACCTATACGAAATACAAACTTAGATTTAACATATTTTAAGAGATATAGATTCCAAAAAGTAGAAAAATTTAAAGCAAGGACATGGATTAAAATAAAACCTACACTTTGTAATTATCCTAGACTTTGATAACCTTTGCTTCTCTTTTATTAGGTCATACCTTTCTAACCCCAATCCGGTGGCGATTATGGAAGTACTTGTCTCACCCAAACCCCGATTGGTTGACACCAACCCCGCCCATAGCTTTCAAAGTTTTCTAGATACCCTCGATCATTGTCTCTACAATATGTTACATAGCACAAAAACCATCCATGATATTAGTTGGCAACATCACATTAGAGTCTATTTCTTCACCGACTCTAGATCTACCATGAAATTGTAGAGGTCCGGATGATGCATCGGCCTCGACACCACGTCCTTTATGATCACATAATATAATCCTCACCATAACAACCTATATGAAACACAAACTTAGATTTAACATATTTTAAGAGATAAAGACTCCAAAAAGTAGAATACTTTGAAGGAAGGACATGGATTAAACTAAAGCCTACGCTTTGTAGTTATCCTAAACTTTGAAACCCATGCTCGATACCAACTTTATCATGACTCTCAAACTAGTTCATGATCGATGCGAAAATTGAGAGAGTTGTAAGGCCTACCCTAATTCAAGCAAGTCTTATATATCTAAACATAACTATCAAATATGTAGTAATCAAAATGTCAATTTTTAATCAATAAATTCACCACAAGATAGTCATCACTTTATAAATTCCAGCACAAACTATAATTCCACATATTTATACATTTCTAAAATAATATTCAAGTCAACAACCTAACACAACTTCTATACAATTCATAATATCATATCTTGATTTAACTAATACTTCTTAAATTCCATCTCAATTTATAATTTAACAATCAACAACCTAATTATTACATAACACATCCAAATTCACAATACTTGTTCATATTCAATATATTAATTAACAAACTAACACAACTCCCACAATTATAACTACGAGCTTTTAGAGTGTACAATAATATTAAAATACAAATTCAAAATACTATAAATAAATAAATAGTATGATCAATGTGCCGGTTTAAAGATAAGAATTTTGAGAAAGTCAACTAAAAATCCCAAAACTCTACAAAACTAAAATAGTGGGATGTAAGCAATGAGTAGTTATTATAACATATCTAAGGAGAAAAACGAACAAATGGATGATAATTCAAAACCTCGCTTTAAGATGCAATGCATATTTCTTAAAATCAAATATATATTTAAATATCAAATTGTATCTCATATTTTCAAGTCATTGAAACTTATAATAAAAATCAATGAGTAGTTATTATAACATATCTAAGGAGAAAAACGAACAAATGGATGATAATTCAAAACCCGCATAAGATGCAATGCATATTTCTTAAAATCAAATATATATTTAAATATCAAATTGTATCTCATATTTTCAAGTAATTGAAACTTATAATCAAAATCTTATATCAAAATACATATAATCAATCAAGTAATATCAAGTATCAAAATCCATACATAGAATAATCAAATCAAATCAAATATCCAAAACCTACACTTAGAGTGATCAAACCATAACATATTATTGGATGCGAATATCCAAAGGATATGCCTTTTGTAGCTAGGTAACCGTATATTGGCCAACATACGAAGCTAGCACTATACCTCTCCCGTTATTTAGAGCATTAATATCGGTGAGCTAACCCACGTAGCTAGGTACCCCAAGGTATTCAAACAATTCGAAACTAAAATAAATTTACATATATTCTAAAATACAAATCCAACATATCTAAATAAAATTCATGCTCAAAACCATTGGTAATGCAAGTCAATATCAAATCTCATACTTACGGTATAAGTTCAAATAGAAAATCATATTTAAAATTACAAATCAAATACATACTTAATTAAATTATATGAATAACATCAAAATCAAGAATCTTAATCGAACAAGTAAAAAAAATTTAAATTTATAAAATTAAATCAAATCTTAAATGAAACTCTTATTCAAGCACATAATCGGATCTTTTTGAATTATATCAAATCATTTTCAAAATCCAATCATTCAAAATTTCACAAGGATACCCATTCCCATCTAAGTTCCAATAGATGTGATTTTGACATATTTCAAATAATGATGCATGATAAAAATATTAAAAGAAATTAAAAATACGATATGTTATATACTATCTACTCACAAGTGCAAATTGAAGATTGTACAAAGTCAAGGTTCGTTGAGATGGAGTCGCTCTGCTCCTAAAGAATCTAATGATATAAAATGATCGAATAATCATTAATATTACATATCAAAAAATATTTTGAAAGAAAATGAATTATTCTAAAAATTTAAATACAAGATAATTTATAAGAATAGAATTTATCGGAAAGACTCAAATTATGGACTTTTAATTAAACTCTTGTTTTCCCAACCAATTTTAGACAATTACCTAACAACTATATCCTAAGTTCATTCTATAATTTTTCTCTAACTATACAATTTATACTTTACTACAATCAATTATCCATCACAAATTTTCACTTTAATTTTTCACACAATTTTTCTCTACAATCCATCTTCAATTTTCACATAATTTATCTCTACAATCCATCACTTCAACCAATTTGAGGATTTTTCAAATTCATGTTCCAATAATCAATTTCATGACACTATTAAGTCATTTCAAGCATTAACTAGCGAGAATTAAGTGTTTTAATCATCAAACTCCCAAATTCAATTCAAACCCTAACCATAACCATAACCTAACTCAATTTTTCATTCCAACTACAAACCTAGTATAAATTAATTTTAAAATAATCAATAAATACATATAAACATCTCAATTTAAAGTCAAATAACAAAAATTCTTATATTTGACAAAAAGGTATTCAATCCTAATTTCAATCCTAAAACACTTCAAGCCTCTAAAGCTTTAATCTAGCTAAACTCACTTTAATCATCTTGCTGTAATGAATTTCTGAAGCATTTGAGCAAGACTTTAGCTTAGAAAAGGAGGAGAGAAATGGGAGAGTAGAGAGAATGAAGGAGGAAGAGAAAGAAAGGAAGGAAATGCAAAATAAGAAAAAATGAGAAGGGATGTCCCATATTTTGTTTTTAAAACTATGCAATTTTATTTATTTATTTATTTTTACCTTTCATTTTATTTTTATTTTTATTCTCTTTTCTTTTTCTTTATATAAGGTTTGAGAACTTTCTTTTTTTGTAACAAAAAATCAAAATTTTAATTTATACTAAAAATATAATTAACCTCTAATTAATCTATAACTATTTTTTCTAATCCAAAAAAGGATATAAATTATTAACTTACTTTATTTTTAAAACGTGTTATAACAAAAATAATATGCATAACCACTAAATGACATCAAAATAATTAAACAAAAAAAAATAGAATGGCGCAAAATACGCAGCTTGCAAACTACCAAAAGCCATCCAAAGAATTAAATTAAAAAATCATTTAAAAGCAGAAAAAACCAATCAATCCAATGGTGTAAGAACAAGGAAATGACGCACAAACGACAATCATCAACGGCTGAAATGCAGCAAAACAAAAGAAGCAGCACGGTGCGAACTAGTGATAGTCTATAGTGAATTTAATGACGGCGACAACAACTTATGTAATTTTTCCTGTAACTGTAGCACATCAAGTGAAATATTAGAAAAAGGAGCGCGGGCACACTCTCTTAATCTGGGAAATGGAATATGTTCCAGGTGTATCGAGGAGGTTCCTATTGAATTATTTAATATTTATTTACGCTTTATTATTATTATTATTGTTACTATTGTATAAGAGCAGGACAAAGGAGGAGGCGAGCGGCTAAAGCAAGCGAAGTATGTGTTTCTATCCCTCTCTAGTAGTTTCTAGTGCCACGTATCGACTTGTTTCCAGATGTTTCTCTCGTCTCTTCAAAAAACCACTCCTCTTCGTTCTCTCCTCACTCTAACCAATAGAAGAAGGATCAAATTCAATTCTGAAACTGTTAGCTACTCACTCTTCCCATACAAAAACCACCCACCAGAATCAACGATCAAAGTTTTAGTTTTAAGGCTTAGCCTGCTAGCTGAAAGAAAGAAAGAAAGGCATCCGTTTCCTTTAAGTACGTACCGATTGCTAACTAAGGTTCGTAGAGATTAGAATTATTTCTTCAATCTTTTAATCGTGGTTTTAGCGCTTTTCTATTCTATTGTTTCTCTTATTCCAACCGCAACAACGGAGCAATCTACATTCTTTTTTGTTTTTTTTGTTTTTTTTGGTTTTATTATTAATTGTGTTTTGGAAATCACTTTATGTTTAATTCTTTTCATGAAATCAGTACCGTAACCGTTGTTGGTGTTGTTTGTTTACAGAAAGGAAGGAAAGGAGGTTGAAGAATCAAGTAATGGATCCTGGAAAGTTCACACACAAGACCAATGAGGCTCTTGCAACAGCTCACGAATTGGCAATAAGTGCTGGTCATGCCCAGATAACCCCGTTACATCTTGCTGTTGCCCTTCTTTCAGATCCTAGTGGAATCTTTAGACAAGCAGTTGCCAATGCCGGTGGTCATGAGAATTCTGCTCAGGCAGCAGAAAGAGTTTTCAATCAAGCCCTCAAGAAACTCCCATCTCAGTCTCCGCCTCCTGATGAAGTTCCTCCCAGCACTAGTCTTATTAAGGTGATAAGACGTGCTCAAGCGTTACAAAAATCACGAGGGGACTCCTATTTAGCTGTTGATCAGATGATCTTAGGTCTTCTCGAGGATTCCCACATAAGGGATTTGTTGAAAGAAGTTGGAGTTTCTGCTTCCACTGTGAAATCTGAGGTAGAGAAACTCCGAGGAAAGGAAGGGAAGAAGGTGGAGAGTGCTTCTGGGGATACTAATTTTCAGGCTTTGAAGACTTATGGGAGAGATCTTGTGGAAGATGCGGGAAAGCTTGATCCTGTCATTGGAAGAGATGATGAGATCAGAAGGGTCGTCAGGATTCTATCACGGAGAACTAAGAACAACCCGGTCCTTATTGGAGAGCCAGGAGTTGGCAAAACCGCTGTTGTTGAAGGTTTGGCCCAAAGGATTGTGAGAGGGGATGTGCCAAGTAATCTTGCTGATGTCAGGCTCATTGCCTTGGACATGGGTGCTCTTGTTGCTGGTGCAAAATATAGAGGGGAATTCGAGGAGCGGTTAAAAGCTGTTTTGAAAGAAGTGGAAGAAGCTGAGGGGAAGGTGATTCTGTTTATTGATGAAATTCATCTTGTTCTAGGTGCGGGTCGAACGGAGGGGTCTATGGATGCTGCTAACCTTTTTAAGCCAATGCTTGCAAGAGGTCAGCTTAGGTGCATTGGAGCCACAACCCTGGAAGAGTACAGGAAGTATGTGGAGAAAGATGCTGCATTTGAGAGAAGGTTCCAACAAGTCTATGTGGCTGAGCCAAGTGTTGCAGACACAATAAGCATTCTTCGAGGATTGAAAGAGAAGTATGAGGGTCATCATGGTGTTCGAATTCAAGACAGAGCCCTTGTGGTTGCAGCTCAATTATCAAGTCGATATATTACAGGTACCATTTAGCAGTTCAACTCCACTTTCAGGTTTTAATATGCTTTTGGAATTGTTTGTTTTAATAAAGCGGTAGTATATTTGATTTTATAGTTCGTGTATTGGGATTATTTGGTTAGATGATAAATATCCGGTCTTTCTTGCTCATGTATTTAGGTCGTCATCTGCCCGATAAGGCAATTGATTTGGTCGATGAAGCATGTGCAAATGTTAGAGTCCAACTTGATAGTCAGCCTGAAGAAATCGACAACCTTGAAAGGAAGAGAATGCAACTAGAAGTAGAACATCATGCTCTTGAGAAGGAGAAAGATAAAGCTAGCAAAGCTCGACTGGCTGAAGTAAGAACTGCATCTTAAAAGAAAATTTAGTAATCAATTATGAGCTGTGTATCTCCCTTATGCTCAACATGGCTATATTGAGACTGTTTCAGGTTGTAAAAGAACTTGATGACTTGAGAGACAAGCTTCAGCCCATGTTGATGAAATACAAAAAGGAGAAAGAAAGGATTGATGAGATTCGGCGGCTCAAGCAGAAGAAAGAGGAGATACTTTTCTCCATACAAGAGGCTGAAAGAAGATACGATTTAGCCAGAGTTGCTGATTTGCGCTATGGGGCACTGGAGGAAGTGGAAGCTGCTATAGCACGTCTTGAAGGAGCAACCACCGAGGAGAACTTGATGCTGACAGAAACTGTTGGACCAGAACACATTGCGGAAGTAGTGAGTCGGTGGACTGGCATTCCTGTCACAAGGCTTGGCCAGAATGAGAAAGAGAGGCTAATTGGGCTTGCTGATAGGTTGCATCAGAGAGTGGTAGGACAGGACCAAGCGGTTAATGCTGTTGCGGAGGCTGTGCTGAGGTCAAGGGCTGGTTTAGGCAGGCCTCAGCAGCCGACTGGCTCATTCCTATTCTTGGGTCCAACTGGTGTTGGCAAGACAGAGCTTGCCAAGGCTCTTGCTGAGCAGCTCTTTGATGATGAAAACCATTTGGTGAGAATCGATATGTCTGAGTACATGGAGCAACACTCAGTAGCTCGACTTATTGGTGCTCCTCCTGGGTAAGTACTCATTTTTCATAATTTTCTTTCTCTCTATTATATAAGGTTGCACGAATGATATCTCACACATGCGTATGTATTTCAGGTATGTGGGGCATGAAGAAGGTGGGCAGCTGACAGAGGCTGTGAGACGGAGGCCTTATAGCGTTGTGCTGTTTGACGAAGTGGAGAAAGCTCACGTTTCTGTCTTTAATACTCTTCTTCAAGTTCTTGATGATGGAAGGCTAACAGACGGTCAAGGCCGCACTGTAGATTTTAGAAACACAGTGATTATCATGACTTCCAACCTTGGGGCTGAGCACCTTTTGTCTGGACTGATGGGCAAGTGTTCCATGCAAGTTGCTCGAGATCGAGTGATGCAAGAGGTAAACGTAATACTACATTCTGTCATGCAGTCTTTCTGGGTTTTGTCGTAGGCTTCTTGGTTGCAAAAAATTGAGATACGAACTTACTGCTAATTGTTGATTTTTCTGACAGGTGAGAAAGCAGTTCAGGCCTGAGTTACTAAATCGGCTTGATGAGATAGTGGTTTTTGATCCACTCTCTCATGACCAACTGAGAAAGGTTGCAAGGTTACAAATGAAAGATGTTGCTAGCCGTCTTGCTGAGAGGGGTATTGCTTTGGCAGTTACAGATGCTGCACTGGATTATATTTTGGCTGAGAGTTATGATCCTGTGAGTATTTTTTTATAACATATTCCGTCACTTCTTTAGGTACTCTGTTTGGATGCAGTGACTTACATTGTCTATATCATGTTTTAGGTCTATGGTGCGCGACCTATAAGGAGATGGCTCGAGAGGAAGGTGGTCACAATGCTATCTAGAATGCTTGTAAGAGAGGAGATTGATGAGAACTCTACTGTGTACATAGATGCAAGCCCAGATGGACAGGACTTGGCTTATCGCGTGGAGAAGAATGGTGGACTTGTCAATGCAGCCACGGGTCAAAAGGCTGATGTTTTGATTCAAATTCCCAATGGCCCAAGGGATGATGCTGCCCAGAAAGTGAAAAAGATGAAGATCCAGGAGGTTGTGGATGAGGACGGTGATAATGAGATGATTGAGTGAATTGCTTGTATGGGCCAAGATGCTGCAGGAATAATGACCGGTCCCGAGTTGAACTGGAATGGTATCTGAAGTCTCTCTTTCTGTCCTCCCTTGTCATGTTTCAAGTGTTTGATATCTGTTAAATAACCGCCTTACTTTAAAGTGAAGTTAAAGTTAGAACATGATCGAGAATGCTATATATGTAACGTAATGTTTTCGATTGCGAGAATTTTTTAGCTTTCTAAAGCCTCGAATTCATAGTTTAGAGTTCAATTTGTTATGTCTCGAATGCTAGATGATGATCAGCTCTTACTGATTAGATTGCTTTTATTTAAGAGTTCAATTTGATATGTTCTGAATGCTAAGGCGCTGAGTAGTTTTGGTTTTGTTCTCTAGGAAGTTTTTGCGCGGAGTTCCATTTGTTATGTTGTCTGAATGCTAGACGCTGATTAGTTTGCTTTTATTCTCTAAAAAGTCTTTAAGGCAGACTTTGGCGCGAAGACTCCTGCGTGAGATGAATATAAAAATTAGAAGGCTGTCAGGTCGTGGGGTCCTTAGGAAGATGGATAACGAAAGGTGATGGGGCTATGGTGGAGAACTGGAAAGGTGAGCAAGGAGAATGGATGAGAGAACGGGGGAGGAAATAACAAAAGACATGAGCTAAAATAATTGATCTTCTAATTAAATTTAATGGTCGGGTGTGAGTTTCATACTTTATAGTCATTTTCAACTTTGTTAGTTTATGAACGCTAATGGGCAAATCCATGGTGGCTGATCTCCCGTGAAAAAAAACCCCGTTTTCTAGTTTAAAATGTTAGCAACCAAGCTAATATGAGTTGCAGCCTTAGCCCTTAAACAAGATTTTAACTTTGCAATCTTAAGCGGCAACAAATATTTGTATAAATAGACTTGGTCTAGCTATTGTAGAAAAGGTTGTTGTGACTATGTAAGGTTGTGTATTTTTTTTTTTTGGTGTTTTTAGAGGGGTTTAGTCTAGCAACTAGTCTAGTGATTAAGAAAGTTTGCTTTCTTTGTCGATTTTTTAAGATTTGAATATTCAAATCAACACTAGTAAGAAATTGTCCTTAAAATCATTTCGGAAAAACTAAAATTTAATTAACTTGCAAAATAACCTAAATCTTCTTCTTTTTTTTTTAATTATTTGGATCTAGAACAAATAGATTGCTGGCCATATTTTAGTTAGGATGGAGTGGTTAGTGCTCTACGATTAGTGTCGAAATAAAGAATGTTCAAAACCAAAGATTCCAAGCCAAGCTCCCATAAAAAAATGTGTAGATCAAAGACTCCAAAATCAGGTGGTAAACAAAAAATGATAGCTTATTTGAAAACAACGAGGAAGATAAGAATTCCTCACTTTTTAGGAAGATATACACCAACAGTAACAATCCTTCATCTTTTAGTTTTTTTGTTAATTATTAGTAAGGTTGTGTATGTAGTTAGTTTCTTCAATTAAACAAGATTTGAGTTTTATTAATTTTTTTCAACAGCATAAAAAATCATTCAAAAATTTCTGTAGCATTTAATACATAATACTACGAAGGAGAAAGAAAAGAAGGGAGGAGCTCGTTGGAAGAAGAAAAAAGTTCTACAGCATTTAATACATAAAAAATCATTCAAAAAATTCAGCTTGGATCGAAGATTTGATATATTGTTTTTGTTGTTCGCACCATGGTGTTTGATATGACGTTTAGTATATTGTGAGGTTGGTTTCGCTCATGGTAATTACATGGTTATCCGGTGATTTTAGGCTTTGAGGATTTAGTTGAAGACTAGATTTTTTATTCGTGCTATGTCTATGGATTGGATAAAACATATAAAATTATATAAAAAAATTATTTCAGTTTAATAATCTGTTTTATGATAAAAAATAATTATAATTTTTAAATAAAAAAAATTATATTTAACTATTTCTTATTTGTGTTTTTAAATTTTAAAAATAAATAATAAAGGAAATAAATTGTTGGTTTTTTTAAAATTTTAACACCCAACTAATTGTTAGTTCTTTTAAAATTTTAACACCAAATACTATTAAGAAACGAAATTTAAAAAAATTCAATGTTTAGAAAAAAAAATAGGGTGCAAGCCGTTTACTCGTCCATGCGAACAGTAAATGGATGGAAATTTTTTTAAAAAATTCAATGTTTACAAAAAAAAAAAGAGGAGGGAAGCCGTTTATTGTTCAAATGAACAAGTAAACGGATCGGGGGGGGGCAACTGGTCTAGCCAAAAAAATGAAAATAAGAAAAAAAACAAAAACATTGTAGCAATGAACAAGTGATTGATTGATACTGTTCATTGCTACGATGAAAAAGCATTTTGGTTTAGTATATAGGATAAAGTGTTGAAACTTTATATAGAGATTTTACATTTCGATCTCGTTTTACCGTCGAAGATACAATATTATCCCCATGTTTCAGAATTTGCAAATAGATTCCCGATTTTCATTTTTGATTTTTATGTGTTTAATTTTGTGTTATTTTAACAAGGTTAAACAACATAATAATTTGATAATTGATAGTTTATCAATCCAATATGAGTTTGCAAAATTTTTTAATTCTAAAAAAGATAGAGTGAGAACTTCCTAATACTCTTCATATACTCAAGAATCGTGTGGATTTAATGATATTTTAATGATTTAAGTTGGTGGTATTTTTATTATTTTAAATATTGTTTAAGCATTTAATACGTTTACAATACTATTCACCCTCCTAATATTATTTTGCATTTAGTGGTATTTTTGAAATTCCGAGGCTTTTTTTTTTTTTTTTTTTTGCTCTTGTAGAACTTCAATTTCTAATTTTTTCAACGACTTTTGTTTTAATCTATAACTTTATTTGTGCTACGGTCTCATTGATATGTATGTGTGTGTGTGTGTAATTTAAAGATTAAAGGCATTTTTTTCTAGATAATTTGTCTTAAATGTTTTAGGAAAAAAATAGGAGAAAAGTTCTTGGTGAAGAATCTAAGAATTTTTTAATTTTTTTATAAGCTTTTAGTTAAAAATTCTAATACAAAAGAATAAATCATGTTCTTTTTAGCAGAAAATTTATGAAAAAACATAATGAATAATTTCTTAAACATATATTTTTTTTAAAAAAGGTTTTTTAAACTAAAATTGTTTTTTAAAATAATTTTATATGTTCTGTCTAACTTATAGTGTAGCGTGGGAAGAAACTAGTTTGTACTAATTCGTCTTCAATTTAATATTTGAGAATAAGTGGTCTAAAATTAATTTTTCCTAATGATCAAAATTTATAATTAATAATCTACCAATTTAATGAACAAATTTTTAAGAGTATCATTTGAAAAATAATTTGTACCTTTTTTCCATCCTTTAACCTTAAATTTTATGTTAATTTTTTTTTCATAACTTTATAAAATTTAATAATTATTTTAATGCTATCATTTTCGTATTAAAATTACCAAGTCATTAACTTTTCTATGTAAACTTAATTATTACCAATTGTTAAAATAAGAAATTTGGTATTAAATTACATTATCTTTTCCATTTTCCTTGTTTAATGTTCAAAACTAAATATTTATCAAGTGAAAGAAAATTAAAGTAGTAATTCCATATCTATTAGGCTCTATAAATGACTTCATCTAATAATATTATGTGACTTGACTAAAATATGTCCCAACTTTTGTATGCTCGTATTAGTCTCTATTCAAACCATGACGCATTAAGACAAATTAGTTCAAAGAGAAAAAATAATCCTTAACGCTAGTGGTGCCTTTTACATATTATATTATGAATAAGGTTAGAAATTTCTAGTTAGTTAATATATCAGATTTCTTATTTTAGAAAAGTTAATGAATTAATTATTTTAATACAAAAAGTGTATTGATTAAAATTCCTATTTTAGTTAATTAAGTTTACACATAAAAAGTATTCCAATTTCAATTAATAAACTTCAAATTTAAGTTTTATTTTATCACCTAATTTTTGAACCTTTTGTTTTTTACATATTTTTTCAAAAAATAAAAATACAAAAATTAAATGTGTTCTGTTTAATTTACTTGATTGTGCAATATTTTGTCCATGGGTTAGGGTTTTTTTAGAAATCACATGATTTTTAAGAATTTAGAAAATTAAAAAAAAAAAAAGAGCAAGAAAAAGAAAGAAACAAGAAGATAAGGAAATAAGGAAAAAAAGAGTAGGAGGAGACAAGTAGAAAATTGGGACTTCGGGGTCCGATTGAAAATACATGGGAAATTGAAAATAAGGAAAATTCAATTGGGGGTTTAATTAAAAAGAGTTCAATTGAAAATGGGTTCATCACTAAATTAGGAAACAATTTCTAAATTCCCCTTAAACCTAAGGAAAGGAAAGTAATTTGCTTTTTAGATAACTTACTTTCAAATTTGGAATTGACTTCTAAGTTAAAAAATTGATTTCTAAAATAGAAAAATTTTCATTTTAGGAAACTTATTTTCAAAACTAAAAACTTTTCCAAAATAGAAAACTTTCAAAACTAAAAACCTTTTTCAAAATATTTGCTTCTCTTTTATTATGCGAATACTTAAACTTATGAATATGACTTAATAGGCTCCTAGATATATTGAAAATGTATCGAGAATAAAAAACATCACTTTTATCTCTTAATACATAGATCAAGATTGATCTCTAGCAAGACATTATGACTATCCAATTCTTTATGAGGATTAATTAATCCGTAATTACTTTTCACGAGTAAGGTTACCATACAATTCAGTCCTTATATCAATTTATCACAATGTGATCTCAAACTTAGTTTATACTCTGTTCGATTATGATCATACATGTTTTTTTCGATTCCTAAATGTCTTAGCTTTAGAATGAACCAACTATGACCACAGATTCCTTGAGCGTACCTTCATCGAAGTGCAATATGATAACTCCTTTAGCATATAAGGAATGACATGTCTTATTTTAGTCATCCACCTATCTCCATTAGATTCCTAGTGCACTCAACAAATCGCCTACATGCAGCTCTTAACCGAACCCATCATAACGAGTG